CTTCAAAGTGGGACTCCGGAGCCAAAGTCACGGTGCGGCCAAGCACGTTTGCCGGAGCACCTCATTGACAGTTCTGGGTACCCTCCAAGCCACATTGACTTGGAGGGGCAAGTCGGTCGTGGAGTGGGTTTACGTCCTGCCGTCGCAAGACCCTCCTCTTTTGGGGTTTCCTGCCATCCAGAAGCCGGGTCCAGTGAAGTTTGTTGACGCCCTCTCCAGTCTCAACCAGCAAAGCCCTCTTCACTGCGACATCTTGGAAGGGCTGGGTGAGCTGAAGGACGAGTATGTGATTCGACTCCAGCCAAGAGCACAGCCGTTCTCCCTCAGCGTTCCTCGCCGCATTCCGATACCCCTTCATAACCTTGTCCGCGAAGAAATGGATAAGCTAGAAGCTGATGGTGTGATCCGAAAAGTCGATGATCCGACGGACTGGTGCTCTGGTATCGTTGTCGTCCCCAAGTCCTCTGGAGGATACTGGATCTGTGTCGATTTCACACACCAGGTGGTCCAGCGGGAGCGTCACATCCTTCCATCGGTGGAGCGCATCCTCAGACGTCTGGGTCCTGCACGGATCTTTTCCAAGCTCGATTTTACAGCCAGTTTTCACCAGATCAAGCTATCTGCCTAAAGCCATGGAGCTCCTCCACGACTTTCATCACCCCGTTCAGCAGAGACTGCTTCTGTTGCCTTCCTTTTGGAATTTGCTTCGCTCCGGGGTATTTGCGACGTCAAAAGGGGAGGATCCTGGAGGGTCTCGACGGAGTTGTACACATGATCGACGACATTCTGGTCTTCGGACACACCCAAGAGGAACATGACCAGCGTCTTGCAACAGTGTTGGGTCGCCTGAGCAGTGCCGAAGTGAAACTGAACAGGCCCAAGTGGGTCTTTTCAGCGTCCGCTGTCAGGTTCTTGGGGGTCACTGTCAGCGCAGACGGTATCAGCCCCGATCCAGACAAGGTCCAGGCTCTGGTCAACTTGAAAGTCCCAGCGGACGTCAGTGGTGTCGGAAGACTTCTCGGCATGGCTAATCACGTAGGCCGTTTTCTTCCTCACCTGTCTGACGTGACTACACCGATTCGAGTTCTCCAAAAGAACAGTGCCTGGTCTTAGGGGCCCAGTCAGCAGTCTGCCTTTGATCGTCTTAAAGGGATACTTCAACGAAATTTGAAATATTCCCATTGTGTTCAAAAATAGGCTGAATATGATCCACAATATCCGTAAATGACAATTGCACGTTTGTATTTTGAGCCTGGTGGCTGTATTTTTCGTTATAAATGACCCACTCTGGCAAGCACTCGGAGAAGGCCCAGCGGAGACCACGGGACATCCAACGCAATCGTGACGTAGGTTGTCTCGGGACGAGCAAAGCTACGGCGAGGCTGACGTCAAGGGGATGGCCTAGTCGTTCCAGCCACCGAAGCGGCTGCTTTTGTCTGAATTCGGAGTGACAGGTTAATCTTCTATAATCTTGTAAAGGGACAATAGTGACTTCTGCGACACATAAAAGGCATTGTCGGGAAGGGGGGAGTTCCTCCTTCCCCCTCTTCTTTCCTCGTGGCCGGAGGCGAGACACTCACCGTCACTAGCTGTCAAGGTTCCTAGACGGGCATTACAAGCGAGGCGTTAGCGACATCCACCAGGTGCTCTTTGCTAATCATTTAATTCGTTTTAAAATTCTTCGAGATTTTTTTAACAAAAAATAGGTGTGTTCGATGTGATAATGCTCCTGTGAACACATATAGACCAAAAAGTGAGCGCCGAAATTTCGTTGTAGTATCCTTTTAAGGGCATGTTGAGTTCCGAAGTCTGCATGGCCAAGTACGACCCTTCGTACCATACAACAGTTTTGGCTGATGCGAGTTCGTATGGGCTGGGAGCCGTTCTGCTACAGGACCAACCCTCGGGAGTGCGTCGCGCCGTTCCCTACGCTTCGCGATCTCTAACACCGACTGAACCCGGTACAGCCAGACGGAGAAAGAGGCTCTAGCCGTCACATGGGCCGTTGAAAGGATCGACCAGTTCGTCCGTGGCATCAGGTTTGATGTCCAAACAGATCATCGACCCCTCGTCACTCTGTTAGTATCTGTGGAACTGGACACTATACCTCCTCGCATTCAGCGAGTGAGGATGCGGCTTATGGCCTACCAGTACAACGTTCTCTATGTACCGAGGAAGCTCATGGCGACAGCAGAACCCTTTCCCGAGCTCCTGTACAGGCAGCCGACAACAAAGTCGACACCGTCGAGCTCTTTGTTGGGTCACTGCTCTAGGACATCGAAAGTCTTGCGTCCACTCGCCTCTATCGCCTTTGCCAGCACCAAGCAGAGGATGTAGTCTGTGCCGGCCTACTCCGATTTTGCAAGGATGGGTGGCCCGAGAAGGTGCCCAACGTTACAGTGCATCTTAGGGCTTTCTGGAAGGAGCGAGGCAACATCACAGCCTTCGAGGGACTGTTGCTGAAGGACTGTCGCATCGTGGTTCCTCAGACCCTTCAGAAGGAGATGCTAACATTAGTCCACGAGTGCCACCAAGGTGTGGGAGGATGAAAGGCAAGGGCTCGCGACTCAGTGTGGTGGCCAATCTTGAACAGCGAGCTGGAGCAACTGGCGGGGACGTGTGAGCGTTGTGCCCAATCACGAATTCAGCGCTGCGAGCCGCTTCTCGGGACTCCTGCACCCGATCGCCCTTGGCAACGTATCGGGGTTGACCTCTTTGAGCTGCAGGGACGCAACTACGTGGTCATGGTTGACTACTATTCCCGTTTCCCCGAGGTGGTCGGTCTTACGACCACAACATCAAGCTCCGTCATCGTGGCTTTGAAGAGTTCTTTTGCCCGCTTTGGGATTCCGGAGACGGTGGTCTCGGATAACAGTCCGCAGTTTTCGTCAACAGAATTTGCCTCTTTCGCAGCCTTGTATGGTTTTGCTCACCGAACAAGCAGCCCGAGGTACCCGCAATAAGCGAATGGCGAGGCAGAGCACATGGTTCGAACACTCGTGAAGGCAGAGAACCCGCACGTGGCGTGATACCGGGACACACCTGGAGTGACTGGCTACAGCCCTTCGGAGCTGCTCATGGGTCGTCGTCTCCGGACCAGGCTGCCAGGGTTACACGCATCGCTGATGCCAAAGTGGCCGTCACCAAAGCTTGTCAAGATCGTGAGGAGACGTCAACGCAAGGACTTCAACAGGCGTCACGCCGCCCAGTCGCTGCGCCCTCTGGCAGCAGGAGAAGACGTGTGGGTTCAAGATATACCATATGCCGCTAGGGTGTTGACTCCGGCTGAGCGGCCGCGCTCTTACGTGGTCGAGACGCCAAGGGCTGTTGTCCAGCGTAACCGTCGCCACTTGGTGCCGTTTACACCCAGTACTCCCAGTCAGCCAAGCGACCTTGTATTCATCCAGCCTGCAACTTCAGACGGGCCAGTTCCTGTTGCCGAAAGACCAACAGGCGACTCAGCGGAGGTGCCCAGTTCTACACGGCAGTCTCCCACCGGGTATACGCGTCACACGTTCGGGGCAGCAAGTTAAGCCTCCTCAAAGACTGGACTTGTGAAAGCACGAGGTAAAGTTCCCTCGAGCTGAAAGGGGAGATATAGTGAGGACACCTGATAACAGATGGCGCCATATGTGCTGTACTGCGGTACTACCGGAAACGGAGTTTCCTCCGGTAGTTGATAGAGGATTAAAGTCACTTTTTGACGAGCTGTCACCCGGGGTGGATCTGTCTTTTCTGTCTGGCGACCATGTGGTCGCACTCGGACCCATAGGGTCACAACACTCGAAAGTCAAGTTTTCTTCCACGAACAATGCTCGCTGTGTTTCTTCACGGCTTAATCCTGCCCACGAGTTTGTCACGAAGAGCCTCTTGCAAGAACGGTCCATAATCACACTTTCTTGCCAGGTGATTTAACGCTACAATGAAGTCTTCGACGGTCTTTTGTTCCACTTGCACCCGTCGGTTAAATTTGCATCTTTCTGCGATAACCAAGCTTTTCGGACTGTAGTGATTCTTGAGAAGCAACTTCACTTCCTCGAACGACTTAGCTCCTGACGCATCCGGTACAACTAGACCCTTTGAGTACTTCGTACGCTTGAGCTCCGATTACGGCTAGAAACACGGCTAGATTTTTTTCGACTTTGACATCGTTCGCGATTACAAGATGCTCGAATCGCTCTAAATATGATTTTAAGTTTTGCGCCTTCTCATCATACTTGTCAATCCTTCCTAACTGCGCCATTTGAAGCTGTAGGTGATGGTGTACTTATCGCTTGCTGTCTTCAATCCGTGACCTGAGTGTTGGTTCTATCGATGCGGTAACTTGCTGTCCTCTCGCCTGGCTGTCGCTGCCATCTCCGAGGTACTCCGTGAATTTCGTGTGCCTGTGCGGTGCTCTGACAGCCTCGTCGCCAATGTACTAACTTGTCAGGACAGCATTCCAATAGACCAACAACAGCGGTTTCCGCAGAGTACATTGAAAAAGCGACTAAGCACGATTTGATTTTGTGTCGCGTGAAAGGGTTTGTTTTAAGCGGTTGGCCTTCACAGTTCCCAGACACACTACAACCGTATCGCGTACGTCGCGACGAGTTGTCTTTCGAGCAAGGGTGCGTTACCTGGGGCAGACGTCTCTCAATCACTACAAGCAAAAAATAACTATGCGGTAACGGGAGGGAATATAAGGACGAAAGAAAATACACTTAATGGGGTATTCACATGAAGATGAAATCCACCACTTTCCTCCGCGGATCGCACATCGCGTGAGATATACGTCGTCCCTTTTTGACTCCTCGTGGCGCCGTCCTCCTCCGTAATGGAGGTGGGGTATCCACACGAAGGAGAAATCCGTCACTTTCCGCCACGGATCACGCATCACGTGAGATATACCTCATCCTTTTTTGACACTTCGTGGCGCCGTCCTCCTTCGTGGCTTAAGTCCGTGGCGGAGGCACGGAGGCTTTGTTCTTTCAGCACAAGAGCTCCGCAGGTGGCGGCGTAGTCGTTTGCATTCAGCTGCTTCTAGCGATACCCTTTTGCCTCGTCTGGCCATGGGGGCCACAGAGTTCTTCACGCGCTTTTCGGAATCGCCTCCTCCATTACTGCTTTAGCAGTGCAGTGGTAGAATGGCAAAGTTGAATGACGACGCCTCGTTTTTTTTTTTTAATTTCTCTCGTTGAGAAGTTCCCTGCGCAGTGGGACATGATCAGCGAACTGTATTCAAAAACCAACCTCAAGGCATCAATATGGGAGAAGATTGCTGAAGAGATGTTCGCACGGTTCCCACAATTTGCACCATACATAGTGGGTGAGTGACGTCTTTGTTCAGTGCATAAATGCGCTCTGCGGCTGCTGATGATTGAAACACTATCACAACCATACAGGACGCTTGAATGTAGTCATATTTGTTGTTTGCATGTTTAGACTGCGGGATGTCGATCTGCCGGCTTCGGGGGGGGGAGGGGGGAGCAATTTGACCAGTGCAGTAATCTCTTTTGTCGTGCACCACGCCGTAAAGATTACACAACCATGACGAGAGCGTGCGCGCGTATCTATTGGCTGTGGCTAAAGGCCCCTACAGACATTTGCGTTTGACTGCGTTGCGTCGAGAAACGAAAGCGAGTAACCGGCACATCTGTGCATTGTATGAGGCGTGGAATCCAATACACCGATCTCACCAAGTGGTCAGCGCGCGCGTGACGCCGCCATAACTTTAGTTTACAGGAGGCAGGCTACAGTGCACGAGGCGGCTCGTGCACGCGCAGAGCTCCAAGGAGCTTGTCACACCTGCAGAAAGACTATAGGGAGTATTCACTGGCGGCCATAGCTGTGTGCGCAAATGCGGAGCGCGTGCAGATGACGAGCTTCCACAGTTCTTTTGCAACGTGCATTCCGCACCGTCAAGAGTGCCTTTCTTAGCAGCCTATTCATGTGAGCTCGTTCTGAGCATGCGCTTTAAACAGCACCCACAAATATGGCGTCTAGTGAATACTCCCTATAGTTCCCTCGATGCATTGCGACAGTGAAGGCATAGTCAAACTGGCTGGTGAGATCGGTCTATTCAAGGGATAACTTGTCATGTAACATAAGAAGCCGGGATGTCCTGGTTTGTTGCAGCCGCAACGCAGTCAAACACACTCGAAGGATCTCAAACGCAACAGTGCGTAGGGGCCTCTAGGTATGCCTGCGGTTCTGCAGCGCGACTTTTCAATTTAGGTGCTCCCACCGGTATTGAATGAGCCTGAGCAGGCATATTTCGCTAAAGTTATGTATGAACTATAAGGGTATACATTTAATCAAATTGTGTCGCAGCTTTTACAGAAATCGTGTGGCTTGTGCTCCCCCAGCTCTGACATTGTTTTTTATATCGTGAACAAATTTCCTGAAGGGATTTCTTCAGAATGAAAGAAGAACGTACCCTTAGCGAAAACCAGTATCCTTCGAGTATACTTTTTGCACTTTTAAAGGGGGGATCGGTGGCCGAGTGGTCTAGCGCACACCAGCTCGGAGCACGTGGAGCGAAAGCTCGCGCTGCGGAACCCTGGGATCCTGGGTTCGAGCCCCACCCCTGCCCGTTTCGATCTGGATGAGCATCGTACCGGCGTGCGGTCGTGTATCACTACTGCGTGATGCACGTTAAAGACCCCAGGCTAGCGGTTGTATCGCACTGACCAAATTTCTCATCTACAGCTGGGAGACTCGTCGCCCCTGTGAGGCAGACCAAGTTCTAGGCTGTATAAACATACACACAACCCAATTTTTTTGCACTTTTAAAATACTAATTTGAGAAGAGGTTAATAAAAGCATCCTAGAAGGATGCTGTTTTGAAGTATCCGCTTACTACAAGTATCCTTTCCGAGTATGCTTGAAGTAGGTGCGATAGTAGAATACTTTTAGTGTACTAACCAAGTATAAAGTAGATTTAAGTACACCTGGATAGCTAGGTTCGACATTGTACATGTACCTTTTTTTAGTACACGGAAGTGACGTCATCACGTCTGATTGGTTGGAAACAAAAGTGACGTAATTTCCCTAGAAAACTGTGGGCGGAGTCGGCAAAACTGGGCGGAGTCGGCTACCGGACGTGACAACAAAATGACGTTTCGTTTTGTACCGAGTACGTTTCAAAAGGTACTTGCTCGGAACTAGGTGTCATTGGCACCATGTTTTCGGCGGCGAGGCGTCGCCGTCTCGTTAATTCGACTTTTTCTGTAATAGAGCTTTTTTTTTTCGCCCGAAAGGCTGTATCGGGAACACCGCGATGCATTCGAGCTCCCGGAGGAGATCTTTCGGAAGCAATACCGCCTGCCCAAGATCGTGGTGCGGTGGTTGTGCGACGAACTTCGCGAGGAACCGGAGGTGAGGAGAGTGCGTACCTCGTGGACGGTCATGACTGTGGAGCTTCAAGTGTTGTGTGCACTGCGCTTCTACGGCACGGGGAGCTTCCAAGGCATGGTGGCGAGCGACGAACACGTAGCGCGGGACCAAAAGACAGTCAGCGTTGCGGTCCGCGCCGTGTCCGTCGCTATCGTGCGTCGTCTCGGGGTCCAGCGTGGCTTGATCCACTTCCGCGAGACGCCGAGCGAGAGGTTCGACGCGGAGAAGGGCTTCAGGCTGCTCGGCAGGATACCCGGCGTCATCGGTTGCGTGGACGGGACCATGGTCTCCATCGTCGGCCCGTCCAAGAACGTCACGAAGGCGGCGTACTGGTGCCGCAAGTACTTCTACGCCCTCAACGTGATGGTGGTAAGTACACTCATGTTACGTTGTCAAAACGCGCCCCAAATCTGTAGAAAAAAAAAACGTATTCCCGATACGGTTTAAGTATGCCGTTTTATGACTGCTGGCTGTGGGGTCTCACGACTGCGCGAGCGTGTGCTCTACGTAGCATGTGAGCCGTGAGACTCTTCTCCCAAAAATAATACTTGTCTGTTAAAGCTTCCGTAAAAAACAAAACAAAAAAAAACATTATTTTTGTTTCAAGGTACCTTGCATCCAGGAAGGTGTGTTGACATGCATGTGTCAGACAAAATAACTTAAAAGGTTCTGAAATTGCGACTGCTTTGTGAACCATAAGTACAATCTACGACTTGTGGATTCAGGTAATTACATGTCAATATCTCTCTCACTTTCAGGTGTGTGACGCCGACTGCCGGATAATGTGCATCGACCCACGGTATCCCGGGTCGGTGCACGACTCCTTCGTGTGGCAATTCTCCTGGCTCCGAAACCAACTCGAGCAAGGGCAGCTGCCACACGACGGCCGGTTCCTGCTTGGTGAGCATACTAAATTCATTCCTTACGCACACGGTGGCTCCCACTGCTTGAAAGCCACAGTACCACACGTACTGTGCTTGTTGTGAGGCACACAGACACAGTTGCTGCAACTCCTTGAAGTGAGACAACACCCCAAGTTTGGCCATTAACCTCTGTTTATGTCCACATAACTCTCACACTCTGCTGGCTACGAAAGCCACACTACACCAATCTCACGACAGTGATAGACCGCGCAAGGCATGCAACCGCAGTGCGAGTCGCTGTCCAGTTCGGCCCACTCACTGTTACTGTCTGCCTGTACCCTCTTGCTGGTTGGTTTTTGCATGAAGTTGGAGCTCTTTCGCCGATCCCTGGGGGCTCGCCTGGTCGCTTTGAGTCAGTTTGTACGGAATGGGATCAATTCCTCCTTGGCCACTTGGGGCTCGCCAAATCTGTCCTCGGGTCGTCTCTGTCCCACACACTGGATTCTTTTCCCCGACCCTTCTTCTTCGGTCTGCCTATATAGCTCCTCCTATTAGACCCTCCGTGTCCCAACAGGACCCGACTCCTTTCCAATCTAACCACCCCCTCTCTTTTCCCCATCTCCAACTCCACCGAGGATTAGGAAAGAGGTTTGTCGAACTGGCGCCTTATCCCCTTGCTTGCCAAAGACTAGGCCAGCGTGTTCTGCTCTGCCCGTGCCTAAGGTCACGGCCACACTCCCAAAAGCAACAGAGCTTTTATCTGTTGGATGCAAGGGCCTAATAATGCACTTGCATACAACACAGCACCCCTAAGGAATCGTGCACACATCCCATACAACCCACCAGGAAAACACATAGTTACATGTAATAACAGGGAGTTTGCAGGCAAGCTGGTGCTAATTAATCATAATGTAAACTGATACTGTAGTGCAGAAATATTAACACCCTTTTAAGTCGCACTTAGGTTACATTATAATTGACATAGTTGCACACAGCTGTTTTCTTGCCTTTTATTTTAAAAAGTAAAGAATGCAATATGTTCCATCCTCTACATGTGCAGGTGACAGCGGCTACCCCTTGGAGCCTTGGCTCATCACCCCTGTCCCCGGGAACCACGCGACCTCCACCGCTTGCGGCCGGTTTAATAAGGCGCATTCCTCGATCAGGTCTGTTGTGGAGCGCTGCATCGGGCTGTTGAAAAACAGATTCCGGTGTCTGCAAAGGCACCGGGCTCTGTATTACCACCCTTCAACAGCCACCGCCATTATTTCGGCATGTGCAGTGCTCCACAACATCTGCCTTGCATCGAGCGAGCCAGAACCGGAGTCAGACTCCGACCCTGAAGAGTCAGAGTTGGAGTCTGAGCCGAGCTCGGACGGTTCTGAGCCGAGCTCGGAGAGGTCAGCGTCGGCTCCCGAGAGGCTGGCTCCTGCCGGCCCTCCGGTCGGCCTTCCGGTCGGCCTCTCGGACAGGGGGAAGGCTCTGAGGCAGCGCCTGGTCGCCCGGTTCGGAACCCGCCGCAGACGTGCCCGTGCGGAGCGCCACACGCAAGGAGTCCGCCGCCACGACGGTAGTCCCGACCCCCAGGGACACCGTCGGGAAGCCCCTCAGCGCCCTCGCCGCGGTGGTGCCCAGCATGGACGCCGCCAGTGACAGGGAACCTCTCGCCACCACGACTGAGGTCCTGACCACCAAGGACCCCGTCACATCCTTGCCCTCAGTGAAGCCCTCCCCGTGGAAGCCGTAAAGTGCACACTTCGCTTCCTGCTCCACAGTCATAGCCGTCCACAAGCTACATACTCTCTTCAGCTCCTTCACCTTGTGAAGTTCGTCGCACAGCCAGCGTGCTGCCTCCGGATACGTGTCGAGTGCATCGCGGTGATATCGATACAGCCTTTTTTTTTACTTTTTATGAGCAGAAGGCACGAGACGCAGTCGACAGTGACAGAAAAGGTTTGCAGGTTTAGTTGCCAAACCAACAGGTCATCTGATTGCCCCTGCAAAGAACTGAGAATTAATTTAGATTACCTCTAGAAAGAAATGCTTGCTTTAGCAGAGGTTGCTTTCT